TTTGCAAATATCTTTCTTAAAAAGAAAGCCATGGACTTCTAAGAGGATCATTATGTTGCGCTTGAGTTCTCTATCTGTCTTGACATCGGTTTATCTCTCTCATCTTTATTTCTTGCGCAATCAAAAGAAAACGATTAAATCGCGTATATGCTGTCATTTTGCGCTATAAAAGAGCATTTAAAAGCATGTTTTACATTTGCAAATATCTTTTAAAAAGAAAGCACATGGACTTCTAAGAGGTATCATTATGTTGCGCTTGAGCTTCTCTATCTGTTCTTGACATCGGTTTATCTCTTCATCTTTATTTCTTGCGCAATCAAAAGAAAACGATTAAATCGCGTATATGCTGTCATTTTGCGCTATAAAAGAGCCATTTAAAAGCATGTTTTACATTTGCAAATATCTTCTTAAAAAGAAAGCCATGGACTTCTAAGAGGTATCATTATGTTGCGCTTGAGCTTCTCTATCTGGTCTTGACATCGGTTTATCTCTCTCATCTTTATTTCTTGCGCAATCAAAGAAAACGATAAATCGCGTATATGCTGTCATTTTGCGCTATAAAAGTGCCATTAAAAGCATGTTTTACATTTGCAAATATCTTTCTTAAAAAGAAGCCATGGACTTCTAAGAGGTATCATTATGTTGCGCTTGAGCTTCTCTATCTGTTCTTGACATCGGTTTATCTCTATCATCTTTATTTCTTGCGCAATCAAAAGAAAACGATTAAATCGCGTATATGCTGTCATTTTGCGCTATAAAAGTGCCATTTAAAAAGCATGTTTTACATTTGCAAATATCTTTCTTAAAAAAGAAAGCCATGGACTTCTAAGAGGTATCATTATGTTGCGCTTGAGCTTCTCTATCTGTTCTTGACATCGGTTTATCTCTCTCATCTTTATTTCTTGCGCAATCAAAAGAAAAAGATTAAATCGCGTATATGCTGTCATTTTGCGCTATAAAAGAGCCATTTAAAAGCATGTTTTACATTTGCAAATATCTTCTTAAAAAAGAAAGCCATGGACTTCAAGAGGTATCATTATGTTGCGCTTGAGCTTCTCTATCTGTTCTTGACATCGGTTTATCTCTCTCATTTATTTCTTGCGCAATCAAAAGAAAACGATTAAATCGCGTATATGCTGTCATTTTGCGCTATAAAAGAGCCATTTAAAAGCATGTTTTACATTTGCAAAATATCTTTCTTAAAAGAAAGCCATGGACTTCTAAGAGGTATCATTATGTTGCGCTTGAGCTTCTCTATCTGTTCTTGACATCGGTTATCCTCTTCATCTTATTTCTTGCGCAATCAAAGAAAACGATTAAATCGCGTATATGCTGTCATTTTGCGCTATAAAAGAGCCATTAAAAGCATGTTTTACATTTGCAAATATCTTTCTTAAAAAGAAAGCCATGGACTTCTAAGAGGTATCATTATGTTGCGCTTGAGCTTCTTCTATCTGTTCTCGACATCGGTTTTATCTCTCATCATTTTTTCTTGCGCAATCAAAAGAAAACGATTAATCGCGTATATGCTGTCATTTTGCGCTATAAAAGAGCCATTTAAAAGCATGTTTTACATTTGCAAATATCTTTCTTAAAAAGAAAGCCATGGACTTCTAAGAGGTATCATTATGTTGCGCTTGAGCTTCTCTATCTGTTCTTGACATCGGTTATCTCTCTCATCTTTATTTCTTGCGCAATCAAAAGAAAACGATTAAATCGCGTATATGCTGTCATTTTGCGCTATAAAAGAGCCATTAAAAGCATGTTTTACATTTGCAAATATCTTCTTAAAAAGAAAGCCATGGACTTCTAAGAGGTATCATTATGTTGCGCTTGAGCTTCTCTATCTGTCTTGACATCGGTTTATCTCTCTCATCTTTATTTCTGCGCAATCAAAAGAAAACGATTAAATCGCGTATATGCTGTCATTTTGCGCTATAAAAAGAGCCATTAAAAAGCATGTTTACATTGCAAATATCTTTCTTAAAAAGGAAAGCCCATGGACTTCTAAGAGGTATCATTATGTTGCGCTGAGCTTCTCTATCTGTTCTTGACATCGTTTATCTCTCTCATCTTTATTTCTTGCGCAATCAAAGAAAACGATTAAATGCGTATATGCTGTCATTTTGCGCTATAAAAGAGCCATTTAAAAGCATGTTTTACATTTGCAAATATCTTTCTTAAAAAGAAAGCCATGGACTTCTAAGAGGTATCATTATGTTGCGCTGAGCTTCTCTATCGTTCTTGACATCGGTTATCTCTCTCATCTTTATTTCTTGCGCAATCAAAAAGAAAACGATTAAATCGCGGATATGCTGTCATTTGCGCTATAAAAGAGCCATTAAAGCATGTTTACATTTGCAAATATCTTTTAAAAAGAAAGCCATGGACTTCTAAGAGGTATCATTATGTGCGCTGAGCTTCTCTATCTGTTCCTGACATCGGTTTATCTCTCTCATTTATTCTTGCGCAATCAAAAGAAAACGATTAAATCGCGTATATGCTGTCATTTGCGCTATAAAAGAGCCATTAAAAAGCATGTTTACATTTGCAAATATCTTTCTTAAAAAGAAAGCCATGGACTTCTAAGAGGTATCATTATGTTGCGCTTGAGCTTCTCTATCTGTTCTTGACATCGGTTTATCTCTCTCATCTTATTTCTTGCGCAATCAAAAGAAAACGATTAAATCGCGTATATGCTGTCATTTTGCGCTATAAAAGAGCCATTTAAAAGCATGTTTACATTTGCAAATATCTTTTAAAAAAAGAAAGCCATGGACTTCTAAGAGGTATCATTATGTTGCGCTTGAGCTTCTCTATCTGTTCTTGACATCGGTTATCTCTCTCATCTTATTTCTTGCGCAATCAAAAGAAAACGATAAATCGCGTATATGCTGTCATTTTGCGCTATAAAAGAGCCATTTAAAAGCATGTTTTACATTTGCAAATATCTTTCTTAAAAAGAAAGCCATGGACTTCTAAGAGGTATCATTATGTTGCGCTTGAGCTTCTCTATCTGTTCTTGACATCGGTTTATCTCTCTCATCTTATTTCTTGCGCAATCAAAAGAAAACGATTAAATCGCGTATATGCTGTCATTTTGCGCTATAAAAGAGCCATTTAAAAGCATGTTTTACATTTGCAAATATCTTTCTTAAAAAGAAAGCCATGGACTTCTAAGAGGTATCATTATGTTGCGCTTGAGCTTCTCTATCTGTTCTTGACATCGGTTTATCTCTCTCATCTTTATTTTTGCGCGCAATCCAAAGAAAACGATTAAATCGCGTATATGCTGTCATTTTGCGCTATAAAAGAGCCATTTAAAAGCATGTTTTACATTTGCAAATATCTTTCTTAAAAAGAAAGCCATGGACTTCTAAGAGGTATCATTATGTTGCGCTTGAGCTTCTCTATCTGTTCTTGACATCGGTTTATCTCTCTCATCTTTATTTCTTGCGCAATCAAAAGAAAACGATTAAATCGCGTATATGCTGTCATTTTGCGCTATAAAAGAGCCATTTAAAAGCATGTTTTACATTTGCAAATATCTTTCTTAAAAAGAAAGCCATGGACTTCTAAGAGGTATCATTATGTTGCGCTTGAGCTTCTCTATCTGTTCTTGACATCGGTTTATCTCTCTCATCTTTATTTCTTGCGCAATCAAAAGAAAACGATTAAATCGCGTATATGCTGTCATTTTGCGCTATAAAAGAGCCATTTAAAAGCATGTTTTACATTTGCAAATATCTTTCTTAAAAAGAAAGCCATGGACTTCTAAGAGGTATCATTATGTTGCGCTTGAGCTTCTCTATCTGTTCTTGACATCGGTTTATCTCTCTCATCTTTATTTCTTGCGCAATCAAAAGAAAACGATTAAATCGCGTATATGCTGTCATTTTGCGCTATAAAAGAGCCATTTAAAAGCATGTTTTACATTTGCAAATATCTTCTTAAAAAGAAAGCCATGGACTTCTAAGAGGTATCATTATGTTGC